ATTTTTTTTTGTTTTGTTTTTGTAAAGTGTTTTACGGCGCTCGCAACTGCATAGGTCATATGAGCGCACGGGACACACCTAATATTTTCAGTTGGTAGGAAATTTTGAATTTTGCCCGGGTGGCGGCCGAAGCCTACTCTTATCGATTTTAGACCACCAAGGGATCTTTAACGTGCGCAACTTGCACACGGGCCCTCCGAGATTTTTCGCCCTTGTCCGAGAAGGTTAGGTGTAGATCTTTCCTACCAGAAGATCAGGGGTGTGGCAGAAAGACAGCAGTTAGGAGGAGTCAAGGAGTAGCAGTAGAAAGGCTGCAGAAAGAGTCAGGAGCCCAGAGGAGGGGACAAAGAAGGTGAGGGGGTGGGGACAGAAAGAGGAAATGAAAGCAGACAACAGAACATTGCTAGAGAGCAGGAAAGGAGGTGAAAGGAGACAATTTTAGAGAAGAACATTTTTGGTCGCTACCCGGATTCGAACCCGGGACCTTTGAATGAGAGGCCAACACCTTAACCTCTAGGCCACGAGAGCCCCCATATATATATATATATATATATTCATGTATATATGTAAATGTATACACGTGAAGAGCTCAGGGGAAAACTGACGGTATTCACAAGCTAGGAATTGTGAGGGTGCCAATTTTAAAAGCTTGTGGACTCGTAAATTCCCATTTGTTATGACTGGTGGTTTGTTGTTAAGTGTTGTTGAATGGGAAGTCTAACAGCAATAATCAACCAACAGTTGAACAGAAATACAGTTATGGGTCAACAAGCGTTCAAAATTGGGACCCTCACGATTTTCAGTTTGTGACTACCGTTGTTTTTGCACTGTAGTCTTCATGTATATTTATAATATTATCTAGTTCTAATGTTTTCACATGCAGTGTAAAATTTCAGGTAATGAATTTTACTGTATCCAACTTTTAATATCTTTACTCGCAGTAGAAAACTTCAGAAGACTTTTATATGAGCTACGGGTATTTCCTCTGACTCCTTCACTCCAGGCGTTTTCAGAAGGACATGATCATCATCAAGTTCCAGATCTGGGACAGACATCCGCGATTATTGTTCTTCATTCAATCTTTGCTCGGATGCTCTAAGAACGACATTATCAAAATATCATGATCTTTTCACGTCACCTTTCTGTTTAGGCTCCCCAAGCAAATTTCTCTAGGTCTGCTACTGTCTTGTTTGCCTTCAGTTTTGCCAGTGAGAGCTAGGTGTTTATTGCCTTTGTCTATTCTAATCAAACTTCCATGAAACGAAGAAATATGGATGTCTTTTTAAATGGTGCAATTCAAATTTCATAAAAGTGAACCTCTCAAAAACAAAGGAAAAGATTTTTGATTTTAGAAGAGAAAAACCAACAATCCCACCACTTGTAATTGAACAAGAAACAATTGAAATCACGGATACAATCGGCAACAAATTTAGAATGCAAAACCACGTAAAAATATAGTTAAAAAGGTAAATCAGAGGCTGTACTTTCTGAGGAAACCTAGGTCTTTCAATGTGAATCCATCCATCCTTCAGATTATATTCTACACCACCACCATAGAAACTTTGATAAATTTTGGTATCACTTGCTACGGTAGCAATTTGGGAAGGCAGCACATTATAAAAATAAAAAAGTTGATAAGAAAGACATCAAGAACAATTGATACAGGCCTAAGCAAATTTAAATCTCTGCACAAGACAAACGTTCTAAAAAAGGCGGAAATAATTCTTAGTGACTATAGCCACCCACTGACATCGGAATTTCAACTATCGACCCGCAGTAAACGATACATTTCCAAAAAAGCAAGAACAGACAGGTATAGAAATTCATTCGTACCAACTGCTGTGAGGTTACTGAACGCACAGTGCTACAAATGAAACAGAGAGAGAGAGAGAGAGAGAGAGAGAGAGAGAGAGAGAGAGAGAGAGAGA